ACACACACACACACACACACACACACACACACACACACACACACACACACATCTAGACCTCTAATTGGTCATGCATGGTCATTTATATGGACTGATGGCCACTAGATATAGGCAGTGCCCATTGGCGTCATCGGATGTGTTTTGTCGGTTTGCGATTAACCGAGTTGTCCTCCACGGGAAAGGCAAAAAATTTAATCTTGATTAAAAAGGTAATGCTGAGATGAGAGTCAGGAGAGAGTTTCGATTCCAAACGTGAGATATTTTCTGTCACGACGCGGTACAATCAGCCGATCGTCAAATTTGGAGCATTAATATGGAATTATTGGTATCTACAAGCCTGTCCATTTGCCTTGCTTTTGGTGAGAAAGAAATCCATTTATCTTGGATACACGTCAAGATATTGGCCACAGAGGGAGGTAGGCGTCGGCTGGTTTCAGAAGTTAAATTAGCGAGAAAATGGCGGCCAAAGTTGATTATTTCCTTAGCTTGAGAGTCAATGGAAACTAAAATTTTACATCTTTTAGGATTTAAATCAACGTTTTTCAGTAAAATTCTCATATGTTCTTTAAAAGGCATGAAAGGTGTTGAGCTAAAAAAGAAAATTCGATAAAAATTTCCAAACCTGTGGAAAAATGCCAATTTCTTCACTTTCATTATTTTGACGAGCGCCTGGTATCACCACAATGCCTCACATTTGACATATTCTCCTTAATTCAAGAGAATTCATACAGGCATTAGCGGAGAGGAGACTGATAGAGAAGGACAGAAGAAGAATTTGGATGTTGAGGCGCAGGTGGGAACATTTTACGAATAAAATTATTCTCTTAAAATTCAGTTAGCAGAATCCATATGCAATGAGGGAAAGAGGATTCAATCAAGTCGCCATTTGACTAATGGCCCGCGTGGAGGAAGAAGGAACAGCTCTCAGAAGGTGATCTCACAGATCAAGGGAAATCACACACCAGTCCTTGCTTCATCCCACCATAATTATCTCCCCTCGCTCCGGACGCTAGCACGCGACAACGCTGGCGTTTAATCATAGTGATGGGCCGATACCACAATTTAGGTATCGATATCGATAACCAGTAGTTTTTCAAGATATCGATACCGATACCTCGATACTTGATGCTATTGATAACAATAATATACGGGGG